GTCCTTCAACATCCATAAAACCCCTCAAAATGTTCATAAATCATAAACTGTTCTTTTTATCTTTTGTTCTTCCTTCTTCTGCTTATATTTTGATTTTAGCTTTTTTCAGCTTTTTTAACTGAATGGTTTGTTTTTTATCATTCTGACCATTTCTGCTAACCTTCTGTTAATTCTAACTTTTCGGTGCTTCTCTCACCTTTATGCAATTTTTTATGCTTCTATCTGTTAATTTTAATAGTTTTTTGTGGTTTTATCCAATATGAGCTTTTTTCAGCTATATTCACCTTTTTGTGGTAATTTGCTTAATTCAGCAAACATGCTCCTTCTGTTTGTTCATTTTTGACTCAGCAGTCAGGGAGTGACAAACACAAGTTTTTTATTTAATTAGTTTTGGTGACAAACTCAGGAGTGTGGATAACATGGTGACCACAATCAGCCACTTTGTTCTCTTTACACTTTTCCAACAGCTCAGTTATCAAAATGTTTGTTCACAGATGTGTTCCAGTTGTTTTTGTGGGCAAAGAATATCAAACCCAAGTTTTTGTCCTGTAGTTAACGTGAAGATAAAGAATGGTTTGATGGGAGCTTGTGTCTTACCGATGTAGACTCTCTTACTGAAGCACTGCATCAGCAGCAGGACAAAGACGTGAAGAGGAATGAGGTTGATGATGAACACGTAACCTCCCCAAGCCGACACCTGTCAAACAACATCAAATCAAGTCACTCCATTCAGAAGTAAAGCTCAGATTAACAAAAGTGCACCGTTAACAAGTAAACAGCTGGTGTTATTCAAAATACAAAGATTAACTTTTCATCAGGAAATGTGAGCTTTATTTTTTAACAAGAAAGAAAAAGTGTCATGTTGTATCACTGTACGTCCATGCACAGGTGGCGCAGAGGGCAGGTATTTAAGCACCTGGGGCCTCATGAACAAAGACTTGCGTGGATTTCTTACTGAAACCTGACGTACGGTCAAATCCAGAAAAATGTGTACGCACAAAAAAATCCAGATGTATCAAACTGTGCGTACGCCTGAATCCACACACATTTCTTTTGTACATCACAATTAACGTGGAACTGAGCGCAGGTAAGACACCTCCCCTGACACGCCTTCATTAACAAATGTTAAACAGATGCAAATTACTTCCAGCATGTGTGAAGGACACGTTTGAGTGATCCCTGCGTGATCAGAGATGATTTCTAGAGTCATAAAAATAATGAATTAAATATAATGTGAGTGAGAAAAAAATCCTAAGTAAAAATGGGAATAAAATATACTGTATTTATCACGTAAAGAACGAGTGAGTGTGTGTTGGTGTGTGTGTGTGTGTGTGTGTGTGTGTG